ATTTTTAAGGTTCATACCACCTGTTAGTATCCTGATATTTATACTTTTGGGTTTTAATTATTTTGGAGTCTTTAAAGATTTGTCGTAGGGTGTTAAAGCATAGGGTTCTTGAGTTTTAATTAAATGAACTTGAATTTTGCATAATAGTTTGATAAATGATATGTAGGAGTGGGGTTTGCGTACTTGTGAAGGAACGAAGAGATGTTGAGTAAGGGGTGTTCAAAGTTAACACGCCACCCTGTAGATAAAGGCACACATACATCAGTAACAGCAGGTCGGCCATTCGAAGGAGCTACCCGCAATTCCCGGACGCTTATACGCGGTGTTGTAGGCCACGGAACGCTTGCAATTACAAGCTGGTCAACATATAATTATCCCCAATGACCATAAATTACCGGATTTTTATGCGCAACATTCTTAATTACCCTTTGAATTAACATCAATCAACCCCCTTAATTGTACGCTGCTGCTGGCGGCGTCGCTGACGCTGCGTTGCCTCTCTTCTCAGTTCATCCTCCGCCTCCTTTCTTCTTCCTCCTACTTCGGCAAGTCGAGCACGGGTATAAACCAGGCACGATGATAATGCGAAAGCACGATACTCGGCCCCGAAGCGAGAAGAAGAAATATCGAAGAAGAGGGTAACCGATCGAGACGAAAGTCGAGCAGGACACGTGGTGTGGCAGTCGCTACGAAATCACCCCGAGGGTGGCTTTTAGTGGTTAAACGTCTCCGATCGAGGGAAATGCGGATAGAATGGAAGAGGGAGAGGGAGAGGCTCGTGACGGCTCGTCGCATAATGCACGCGTTTTAATTGCCTCCCTAGACACTCGAACGATCCTCGTATCAATGGTCCCGGTGTGTTTTAATTGCATATTCGATTACGTGGACTTTCACCGGCTGATCCCGTCAGCAATTATCGCTCGTGGAGACATGCTAGGATGCACTCGGTGAAAGCGGATACTCGTTTCTCGATGAAAAGAACCGCGAGCCTCGATTTTCCCCGAGAAAATTGACCGACGGACTTCCGTTTCTCGCGTGTTGGTTCAGCTGCATTCTATCGGCAGATTCGTCGTTCTCCAGATGAGACATCTGTTTGGTTCATTGATTTTTTGGATCTTTATTCTTGGGACAATACGTAATTGCTTTTTAATCTTCACTTAAAATAAAATGAGTCCTAAACAACGACTGGTTGTGATTCTGCATAAGGGATGAAGCTACCTCTAAGAAATAATATATGAAGAAAATAAGTGAGACTTAATTAAGTGATGTTTGTGAGTGAATAAATTTGGGAACCTATTTTTTGAGGTTGTTGAGGTGACTCGTAAAAAATAATTGATTTGTTAAAAATACTAAGTAACACAATTTTCAATAACTTCAACGATGAATGTAACCTAACTACTATACGTAACCTAACCACAGATGCATTGTACTACATGTACTATTGTACTATACCTACTGTAAACTAACTGTAATGTACTTTATGACTGCTGTATAAATCTCATATGATTTAAGGCAATAATAATAATAAATAAATAAATAACTATTGTCAAATAGTAATCCCCAGAAAGGCAGCAAATAATCCAAAATTCTAACCCTCGTCAAAAGATTTATTTTGGCGAAGCATGCAGCTAATCCCTATCAATTATCATGATACAAACCGAACGTGCAATTACGCGCAAAACGAATTGACACGTGTAATCGGTAAAATGGAAGGTTATCGGATTCGACGATGATTAATCCATTCCCAAAGCCGAGGTAGAAACGAAACGCCTCTCGAACAGACGGTGGAGGGTAGCAATTTTCAAATATTAAGCCCCAATGACACTTGAACGATCACGGTTATAATCATTGCCGATTTCTTCGGCCTCGTTGGAGGGATTCTCCTTCCGTTTCACGTATCACGATCGGAAGAGAGGGACGATGCGATACGCTAATGAAACCGCGCTCTCATTAAAGCATCCAAATCGACGATACTAATTGGCTAGCTTTCGGAATACCCAGCATTATACCTCAGGATGCGATATAATAATCGTTGCGGACGAATTCGGCCCCGGACAGCCGGTGGTTAAAGCGTCTAGTAATTTCACGGGCGCAGCCCTAGAGCGATTAATATGATTCCAACGGAAATTAACGACCGCAAACGGAAAAAAGGGAGGCTCGTTCGTTCGAGGCTCGACTGGCCACTCGATCGTCGACAAGCAGTCCTTCGAAATGAGAGGATCGCTTAAGACGCGAGCAATTTACTTCCTTTAAAGCGTACGCGTTAACTGTTCGCTTGCTTTGCTTGTTACTTCAACTCTACACGTTGTAACCGACCACTTTCTTTCGTTCCATCAGCGGTAATTCCAAGTTTTTTAGATTTTTCCAACGGTGATTAACACGCCGGCTAACGCGCTGATCGATGCCTCTAATTTTCTGCAATCAAACGAAAAATAGAAAGAGACCAACTTTCGTGACAGTGAATAGCCGGGTTTTAAATAGTTTTAACGTTATCAGACGTATGAAATTTAAACGGTATATATATTTTTAATTATAGTATTTTCCATAGAAGCCAAATGATCTTGAACATAAAATATATGCGCAATCGTAAGCCGTACATAATAATTATGCGCAGTGAAGCTGTTACACTTTATTTTACTGCACTTATTGTATACACTTTATTGCGCACGATTATTATTTTCAGTCATCGACTATATGCTTAATGGTCAAGGACGTAATCAAGGTCATTCAACATTTTCTGCCTTCGTTGCAACGATATTAATAACCACAATGTCTTATCCTTGAACAACTTATATTAAAACCCTACCTCTAAAAAATAAATTCCCAAGTACATAAGTTCAATGCCTTGAATTCTAGACTCGCAATTGTGAATAAAAGAAATTACACTCCTGCAACAGCTAACACATTTACGTTTGTATTTCTTGGCGTAAGAATTACGGCAAGTCAGAACAATTCCTCGACAGAACCGTCATCAAATCGCGCGTCCCTCGTAGCTAATTAACTAACACCGATAGATTTCCAGGAATTCTCACGAACGATGCAATACCCGCTAATTCCGCTCGATAACGAGACGCAAAACTGCTGTAATTACACGGTTACGTAGGCTGGAATATCGTGTCGAGGCCCTATACGCTGCCTAACGGTGAATCTCGATGATCGCGATCCAAGCTCGACCGTAGGTCGTTGCAAACCCGTATAAGCTTTATCATGAGCGACGATTTTTTTTTTGCAAAAACCCTAATATTTAGAGGGCGACCATTATAAAACGCCTTTCACGAGGAACAAAGTAGTTGGTGGGCTGACGGTGCGCCCTTTGACAATAATTTGTCCAGAATAACCGGCTGCTCTCTCTCTCTCTTTCTCTTCCTCTAACCCAGGCTTCCGCTCGATGATCCATCCAGCCGTTCGTCATAGGCGTACGGCTTTTAAAAAAGTGAAGCGCTGGACTCGGGCCAGCGCAAAAATAGAAGCAGATGTTGTTAGTTGCGTTCAGCAAGTACACGAACCGCGAGCTTCGACGATGGATCTCGCCGACCTCTGGCCCGGAGGAAAAAAAAGAAAGGACAAGGATGAAAGCTTGATCGAGGAGTTAGAAGAAGTAGATAGGGTAAACTTCGACCTTGTGTTAATAACTGCCCACCCGCTTTTACTGTGAGGTCGCAAATTTATTATGCTCCAGTTAGAACGTTTCAAAATCGCTTTGGATCAATCGCGAAATATTGCGGTCATGGTACCGTGCAAGGACTCTCACGTTTTTGAGATTTAAAAATATTTTGATTTCAAGTTATTCAATTTCCGAGTTGTGGTACGTTGGGGACTTGAGTATTCGGAATTTACAAAGTTGAGAATGTAGAAAACTCTGAATAGAACTTTAGGTATTTAGTCGGCCAGAAATATACTTTGATTTAAAGAAATAAGAGAATGAAGAAGTTCATTAATGTACGAAATCAAGAATTGAGGAATTAACTCGAAAATTTTCCAATATAGAAACATGGACACATAAGAACGTGATAAGTCAAGTCTCAATAGACCTCAATAAAACACCTAACCTATGATTACATCGATGATTCACTTAGCACTTAAGTATAGGCAGTAAGCAAAATAAAAATATTCTAAAACTATCACAGTCAGAAAGATGCCATGGCAGGGTAATTCCGTTGCCCTTGAATTCTTCCTAACCGTCCACACAGATAAAAATAATTAGCCTGATAAATGCGAGGTGTCTGTAGGTGGCGCCCTGTTTTATTCTTGAAGCAACGGGATTCTTGGTCTCTCACCACTATCTCTTGCTCTGACTCGATGCCATCGGCCAAATGTTTTTGCTTTGAAGTCGGAAGATGAACGGGGGCTTCCTTCTAATTTCCACTGTCTGCATTCTTAACAGCTGCACGCAGCACGCTTCGATACGGCCGACGGGAGAAACGCGTTTAATTAGTATCGTGTTTATGCGTGTCGCTCTGCCCTTTCATGTTACCCTCGGACCTCACGTCGGAGACAATTTAAAATACTATCGATCTTTTGGATAAGATTCTTCACAAATTTCTGACTCTTCAAGTTTTTAGATTCGTAACTTACTTCTTTAGCAAATTAGACTTTACCATTGCTATCTACTTTGTTTAATTGGGATCAGGTAGAAAACTTGACAACTCTGTTCAAATTATCTGGTTGCCTCGAATACGATAATAGTTCTTGCAATTCTTATATTCTGAATTATGTTCTATATTGAGTATATATTTTTGTTATGATTATAATGCTTGATCAAATGAATCTTCTATTCGTTGTAATGATCATAGTAATGGAATTAAATCAGTAGAAAAGTAGAAAAAGAAGTAAAGCGATTAAATAAAATTTGAATGTGTCATTTGACACAGAACGTCATCGTTCAATCCACATACACAAATTGTATTCAAGCCATTATGGAATTGTGTCGTGCAGTAGGGTTGGCACGCGGCGATTTCAACTATTAGATCGGTCCTCAGAGAGTTTTGGTCGATTTGCAGATTACGAATCCCCTGGATGCAAGGTTGACATGGCGGAGGGTTCACCCGAAGAGGAACAGAGCAGTACCGCTGCATCCGCTTCCCCGCCAGCTGATCTTCGCACTCTGAACACCCAATTGTTACCGCCTTATCACCACCAGTCCCATCTCCAACCTCGTCTTCAGCATCTGCAGCATCCCAACACGTTGGCGACCGCCGTACCGCCCAGGCACAGCCACAGCATGCTGTCTCATCAGGTGAACATGGAAGCCGAGTTGGACGCGCCCTGCGACGTGCCATTGAATCTGAAGAGCGAGGTAAGTCAATGAATCTCTATGGACTAATGCACCGATCGATTAAGAATCGTTCTAATCGGCCGGATACAGCCGCTTCATCGTTCGACCCCGTGTTCGTTAATTAGACGATGAAACCGACAGATTCTTGGTGACCCTTCGGTCGTGGAAACTGATCGATCTTCTATTTTCTGCGAATTTTAATTACAAATCGAAATCTATCCATAGACTTCCATTCAATTTGTGTTAATTTGACGGATGTTCTTCATTATTTCTACGAGATCTTCAATTTTAGTAAAAACTCGATAGTTCGGTACAAAACTTCATTCATCTATATTTATGTTAACCAAGGACTTGATATTTCTTAGACAGTTCATAGTAAAATGTATGTTTAAAATAGACAGTTATTGAACATATCTGAACATAACATGTCTCTTTTACATATCCGAAATATTTTAAACAATTGCAATAGAACCCGAGTGGTTAATAAAGCTTAATATCAGGATTTACGAGTATCTGGTTAAATTTTCCACGATCAAGGGTATCCAATCGATGTTGGACCCTTCGATGCGCGTCGATCCAAACGATTAATAAGAAAGCCCCTCTGTCGAAACGATTGTCACACTCGTTAGCAACGGTTTTGTGTGTCAATGACAACCAATTGTCCGCTTAAGTAGCTGCTGCGTCGCGTCCAAGCCTAATTCGGCCAATGGTCTCTCTCTGACCTGTATATGATTAACGTAGAAAACAAAGCGTGTCGAATCACTTCCATATGGACGATGGGGTCAATGTACAGTTAATATTCTTTCTTCAAACGCGTTGCTCATATACCACTATAAAACACTATGCATAACACCATCTCAAGCTTTTTAGTAGGTCAACAAATTTCGTAATTATCCTATCTTATCGATAAGGGACTTGAAATTCACTTTTTAGCACAAAATTGCGGTTTGCAACCTCTCGTGGATATAATTATTTTTAATTAGAAATTAACTCGGTGACATGGTTAAATTTTTTACGAGCTTACAACGTTTTACGAGTAAGCCTGTAAAAATAAATATTTAGAAAAGTATCAAAGAACTCGATCTTTGAAATTTTCCAGCGAAATGAGAAAGTAAAGTAAACTTACAGGAAAATAAAATTTAGCGGAACTAACTGAAATCAATAATGCAAGTTTGCACACGCAAAGTGGTTAAAAGGCACGAAAGTAGCTATAAGTCGATTTTCGTAAGCTTTACGGAATCGTTTGCATAATAGCGAATCATAGATCAGACGTGATTTCATTAGACTCCAATCGACTTTCTACGTTCGATATCAGCGATTTGCTTGTGGAAAAAAAGGACAAAGCGGTGTTATCGGGAACACGTAAGTGGCCGTTGTGGCAATCTAATCTCCATACTTGGTGCATGGTCGTTGGAGCGTTTTAAGCGAGAGGCACTCGCGGCGCACGCCTTCTTACCAGAAACTGCCAGAAAAGGCTGCTCCCGTTAGCGGATCGGTAGTCGTGGGAAAATTCTACAGATAGAATGTCAAAGTTTCTAACGGGTTGCACGCTGGTATGCGACTTGTACGCGTACACACGACATTTGCCTAAGCGTTTGCACGGAACGCTTCCGCGTTCCAACTGTGGAGTAAACTCTAATCACGGTATACATGTGACCCCTACGTCGAGATGATTTGGAAGATTAGTTATCGGCACGTGATCTGTCTTAATGAACAGCATGAATTAGGAATCACTTTTCAGGAGCCATTCAATATTTACATTAGTGTCATAGCTGAACACTGACTAATAGTAACTTTTTCTAATTTATTCATATTTTGATGTTTAGGTTAATCAGGTTACTGTATGGTGAAGTCATTAGGTGCCATTTTGTATTTATACTAATATGATAGTTATGAAAGATCATTCAATACCAGTTCTTTGTATTGTACTAATTTTATGCACTATCAGACAGTATAGAAATAATAAAATTAAGTATAGTGAAGTCATTAGGTGCCATTTTGTATTTATACTAATTTCATACACTATCAGACAGTACAGAAATAATAAAATTTATTATAGTGAAGTCATTAGGTGCCATTTTGTATTTATACTAATTTCATACACTGTCAGACAGTATAGAAATAATAAAATTCAAAGGATTTTATCTAGTAATATTCAAAGTCAGTTTCAAAGAAAATATCTGAAAACAAAGCGAGCTATAAATAAAACATTACCAGCAATCAACGACTGAAAAAATACTTTTTAAATATGATAAACACGTCAGTCTGAAGTAACATGTTACTCTTATCATTACTAAAGGGTTAAGATAGAAGAAGGAGATTTAAGAAGGAAGTAAGTAGGTCCCTTATCTTTTTACTGCCGGTAAAGAAAATGTACTGGATTCATTTACAGATTTAATATTGTGATGATGATGATTGCTCATTGTAATCGTAAGGTGAGAAAGTAAAAGTACGGTTGCAACGACTATTGCATGGATCTAGATCAGTTAGATGTTCCGTATGTTGGAGCGAAGGAAGTAGCTCGCGTGTTAAGCGCGAAATTAGTATTTATGGGAGGTCTGTTAACGAGCTCTTTTGTTCGGACCGTAAACGAGGAATTATTTAGGCGTTGATTGTAATCGCTACGAATATAATTCCTATTGATAGGCAAATTCGAGGCGTTCCCTTTTCTTTAGTCGTGGAGTTTGAAACTTGGACGTTAGGGAATTTGGGGTTAGAGAAATTGGGGTTTGGAAAGTTGGAAGACGAGGATTTGGAGATTTGAGGATTTGGTGATTTGGGAAATTGGGGTTTGGAAATTTGGAAGACGAGAATTTGGAGATTTGAGGATTTGGTGATTTGGGAAATTGGGGTTTGGAAATTTGGAAGACGAGAATTTGGAGATTTGAGGATTTGGTGATTTTGGAAATTCAGGACTTGGAAATTTGAAGATTTGGTAATGTGACAATTTGGTACCTGAGTGATGGGGATTTGAGAGTTCGGTAATTTGAAAATTTGGTACCTGAGTGATGGGGATTTGAGAATTTGGAAATTTGAAAATTTGGTACCTGAGTGATGGGCCATTGGAGAATTTGGTAATTTGAAAATTTGAGAATACGAGAATTGGACGATTAGAGAATTTGGAACCTTGAAATTTAAAAATTTTCAGAACATAGAACCTTGAGATACAGATACCCGAGAGTTTAGAAATTTCCAAATTTCCATACGAAGCGTGTAGATTCCGCAACATCCCTCGTTGAGTGCCTAACGATCCTCGAAAATCCGAAAAGTCCAGTTCCGCAGCGAATTTGAAAAGAACGAAATAACCGAGCGCCGGTCAGCAGAAGAGCGTTAATGTCGCCAGTAATCTTAATCGTTCGAGCATTCACGCGGCTGTATTATTAAAGTTCGACAAAAGGCAGTCATTTTTTTGTTTCTCATCCTCTCCGTGTTCCGCGTGGCGCGGTTGATTCGCGCATCAGGAACGAACAATTCGACCGTCCGACAATGCACAACAATGATGCCAATTACCCGACAAAAGAGAATAATAGTGTACTAGAAGAGAGGCGAGGCGGCAGCCTGGAGACTAGAGTCTCGAAAACAGCAGTCTCATCCGTTGGTACGCTGTTCCTGTCCATCCATTACACTATTATCCCCTCAGCAAACACAGGATCCATCCTGGACCGGACTCCACGCATGGACTTAATGCCTGGGCTAGCCCTGTCTGAGGAGGGAGCATGCAATTTACGCGCAAAAGAACTCTACGATGTTTCATAGCGGAGGCTACAAAAAGAAATGCCTCTGCTTAACAGGGCTACAGCATACATAATAATGTCGTCGGTGTTTCCTCGTGGCGGGTGGGTGGGCTAGGTAGGTGAAATATGAAAAGCTGAGGGAAAAATTGTGATCGTCCTACGCTGACCTGCGATCTTTCTTATTTATCGGTATTAGCATGTCAAAGATGCTTGTAACTGGCCTCTCCTCTTCCTTTTAGTAACTTTGATGCCTGGAAATACTCGCTCTTTGACAATTTTACGTTTTATTTCGGCGTTTAGAATTTTTAATGCTGCAGCTTTTTGGTGCCAGGATTTATTGCTATCGAGTATAAAGCGTTTCTATTTTGTAACGTTGGAAGAGTACTATGGATCGGTCGATCGGTCCAATGATCATAAATTATTTGAACAGCGCATTCTTAACGATCTCCGTGCCATTAGCCGTTCCTCTTAATTGCGGAATATCTTCTTCTGGCGAGAATAATGGACGTCCAACGGTAATAAGTACGCGAACAAAAGCATGACAGGATTCAAGGATTTCGTTGGGCACACGAGGCCATTCTAAACGTGTCTCTCGATTGAAAAGACTCCACACACCATGATCCACAATTAGAAACCATAAAAACCCGGCGAGAACGAGCAATCGCTACGACTGATAGATTGTATTCATCGCTATCGGTCATGGTTTTCTCATGGTCATCGTCTTAATATTCCTCATTGTTTCGCTGAAACATTGTTCCTCGATTAGCATTCTAAAATTATTCACAGGTTCGACCCGTGTCATACTGTGACTTTTGGAATTTTTGGGATGTCATAACTCTAAAACTATTCGTTCCGAAGTTTCAGCACTTCGACAGTTGAAGATTTACGCAAGGTATCATTTTCAACAGTGCTACAGAAAAGTTTTGTACCAAACTAAAAGTTGGTAGGAAAATATTCTGATGTTTCAGAATTTCAACTAATTTTCTTGTCTGGCATAACCACCTTTCCGTCGGTGAAGCATCGAAATCACCCGCGACCGAGTATTCCCATCAAGCCGAACCGAAGAAAAAACGGGAGGAAGAACAATAGATATCTATAAAAATTCATCTAAACCGATTAGTATCGTAGAAATTGGATTTCTATCCACTCGTGAAGCCCCACGAGCGCCTCGAACGAGTTAAAATAAATAGAGACGGGAGATGCATGGAGTACTTTCGAGTCTCGAAAGAACTGCAACGATCGGCTCGTCGCTTCGATACCAATCTACGGATCAGAGTCGCTCAAACA